ATAGTACGTATTTATAAGAAAGCAAGCACAACTTAATTAGAAATGATATTTATATTTAAGTTTAATATTGCATATTTTGTCTTCTTTAATATAAAATGTGTGAAATTTTGATCACGGAAATGTTGTAATCAAAGTTTTTTAAGCTTTCTTATCAATTCGTAAAATTTGTTTTAATGTTATTTATTATGCAAACAAAAAGTTTAAATACAAAAGTGTTTAAACTAAGATATGATAATGATACGGAATGAATTAAATGTTCATACTTTTATATAGTCTGCCTTTATGACACAAACTCAACAAAGTGCTTGTTCGGTTCATCTTACCATCTAATATTTTACGTGAAAATTAATAAATAAATAAATAAAAAATAAATGAATAAATAAATAAACAAATATAAATAATTAAAAAAAAATAAATATACTCGTATGAAAAAATAAATTAAAACTTAGAATCGTAAAATAGTTGCAAATATCAGGACAACATTTTTGTATCATATCTGAAATTTATTTGTTCTAATGTTGATTTAGGTCGCAGGTGCAACTCTAAAACAAGCCTATATTTTGCTTCCCGACCCAGCACCATTTACAGTTAGTTCAAATTACAACTGTATGATAACCAAGATCGATGCTACAACCTACCAACGAGTTTGCACTGGACTGTAAGTTTAGCCTATGCAACATTATCGTAATATAAATCCATTTATGTATTTTGCATTACAAGCAAGACATTAATCTAGCCAAACGTTTAAATACCAATAGCGTCGTGAATTGTGTATATGTGTAAGATAAACAAACATCTAGAAATAAACTAACGAATTGAGATGCACTTTATGACATAATAATCCAAAACAATTTAGCTTGAAAGCTGTCATATGATGCATGTAATGTTTGAGCAACTTACAACATGTTCATGAAAAAAATGCTTATGATGTTATTTTGTGAATTAAATACATTAATTTATTATATTAACATGTAATGGCTTTTTAGCGAATCTGAATGCACTGAATATATTATCATATTAATATATAATTGCTTTTAAGCGAACCTGCATGCACTGAATATACCTTAACTCTCACCATAGTAACACAGGGAAACATGATCTCTTTCCAGTACACAGATCCAAATAGTAAGTTACTAGATGTTATAAAACATATATGAACTAAACAGTTTTGTTAACTGTTGATATAATTAGTTGTTTAGTAAATTTACTTTTCATCCTGGCGATTCTATTGATAAACATTATTTTAACTTACAATAAAATACGATCGTGTGTTGAATGTTCCTGAAATAATTCTTTGTTGAAGAAAAATTAATGTAAAATAAAAACAAAAATACATCGCAGAGAATTAACATCTAAGAACATTGTATAATTGAATAAGGTTATATTATGCACTATGGTTACATTGATTTGAGGCTACAAAAAAGAATGTCATCTTTAACTTACAGAGTTTTTTCTAAGAGACAGAACATTGATGTTCAATTTCATTGTTTTTAACAGATAATGTAGTTAATGAGTACTACTGGTCCCCATGTCCAAGTAAATTCATTCTGAGGATGCAATGTCCAAGTGACAGTATTCTAACGAACAACAGATGTGCACAGTCGGGCGCCCGGACAAGTATGTTATTTCGTTACTTGCATAACATTTTTATGATAAGAAGAAATATTGCATATACTATCTTTTATCTCATTCACAATGTATTATGTATTCTCTTGAATATAATGTTTTTGATAATTCTTCGTCGCTTGCTCATTTACATTGTTCCTTCATCTTTGACTGATGTTATAACATCATTGTTATTTTGATGACATTGTAGCCGTGTTTCTGGTCGGAGATGTCAATCTAAATAATGCTCCATGGAATGATATTGCCAAAGAAATCTTCACTGCAACCGGGGTCATGTTTGGAGAGATAGATGGCATGAATTGGTATTTTACAGAAAATACCGGAAGTGAGTGCACAATATATTTACAACATCAAAAATCAGTTAACAAAAATAAATTGATTTGCTCCGGAAGTTTTGTAACCTTTAAATATTTCAAGAAGTTTGCTTCTTACAATTTTATGTACATGTAATTCTTTATGATATAATCAACAAAAAGGGACAACATAAATTACATCTCAATGCTTCATCTAGCATTTAATACATATTATAAGCTATGTCATAATGTTTAACATTATTCTTTGTAAGAAAGAGTAACAGATGCATTTAATTTAATTATTTCAGCTCCGTGTGTCCCTTGAAGTTGACAGAAATTGATGAAAACAAAACGTGATTAACATCAAACAATATTGAATGAATTGATTTATGAACATCAATAAATAACAGCAGCATTTAAAATGGCTTCTTTCTTGCTTTTGTGTTCATTTGCCCTGCCCCCTGTTCGAAGAAAAAACAGGATATAACTATACGCTCTGACCGTCTGACTGTCTTTTCTTAACACTTCGTGTCCGGTCCAATCATCTCAGAAATATAAATAATTTTGCGCATATGTTAACCATAATATAGTGTGTCATGCGTAACACCAAAACCCCATACCTCCAAAACCAAGGTCACAATCGAAGATCGAACGAGATAATCTGATGGAGAATTAAGGTTACACTTTGAGGTTTTGTTACAGGGCCTGTTTAATGTCTGGCCCAAAACATTTCCATTTGTATTAAGAACATGTGTCATTTGCAACATTTTGACTCATACCGTCAAGGTCAAACTCACATTAACAGATGAGAGGTTAACCTTGCCTGCATTTACATTGTGCAGGGACGAATTCCGTGTAAGCATTTTTGAAATCGGTAGTTTGCAAACACGATTGTGTTATCACCTGAAAGCACATGCTTTAAAGCATAAAGCACAATCAGAATATTGCCCATTCATGTAATATACCTCTTTTTTGAAGAAGGCCTAGCAGTGATATGATGCACTTTTTTGACATAAAATTACTAAAAACTGAGTTTTTAACAACACATAATTTCTTTTACTACGTTTTGAAGTATTGTTTAAATGCAGACTTCACAACAAAAATTTGGTTTCTTTGTGTTTGGATTGTTTTAGTTTGATATCTATTATGTTTTTATTTCTCATGATAGTTCTACTGATAACTATTATTACTATGCATATATGCCCCATGTCTGGTATATAAATAAAGACGTTGGAATCAAACACCTTTAAACTGAAAGATGTTGTTTTCTGTAATATAAGATGACACTTGCCTAATGAAAGTAGTCACAAACTTTATTCCGGTGCGAAAAAAGAAGAAAGTAGTCCGGCAAGATACCAGTGAAAATGCGAAAAATATGTTTCATTGCAGTGAAAAATATTTTTACAGTGAAAGTACGTAAATTGAAAATACACATTATATTTCATAAATATTTCTCAATACATGTATATCATTTAAAAGTATGTAACAATGTATATTTGTTAAGATTGTATGTATGAGGAACGGTTATGTTGTACGGCATTACACTCACAAAAAAAAATACAATATCAGGAAATAGATTCATTCTTAATATTCTATCTAGTTTGTTGCTTGTAGTTACATCATCAACTGTATAAATATGTGTAAGCAACAATTAAAGTTGAAATTTTGTCAGCATATGAAATAATCTTTAACTTCTAAAGTGTTATACATGCGTGGAATTTGTGTACATGTAAATGTTTTAGCAGATAATGTATAAAATGTAAAGTCTTAAAATATCTTTAAGGTTGATTCTTGTTTCAAAACATTGTTTGTTTTACGCTGTATATAACATTGATTCTAAATATCACTGTACTTGCAATATAAAAGCAATAATTTTCTCAAGAGAAATTTTAAATACCTTTAGTGACCTTTAATGAGTAATTCGCAATGTTAAACTGGTAAAATTTGCGCTAGTAGTTGTCAATTGGTCGCTCCACAAATGTTACTTTAATTTGATCTTCGGCCTTAACATTGGTCACAGGGATCTCATCCTTATTATGTATAAGATTTGTGTCAAGTTGATATGTAAATTTATAATATTTAGGGGCCGAATCACATATTTGTTTGTTTGATTGGGTTTTACGTCACACCGACACAGTATAGGTCATATGGCGACGTTCCAGCCTTACTGGTGGAGGAAGACCTCAGGTGCCCTTCCGTGCATTATTTCAGGCACGAACGGGCACCCGAGTAGAACCACCGATGTTCCGTAAGCTAACTGGATAGCTTCCTCACATGAAAGAATCCAAAGTCCCTGTCGGGATTCGAAATCACAGCGGTGAGGGGCAAGTGATGAATAACATATGAATAATATATAAATAACACATAGGTTTGTGGGTAACAGTAAAAATATCATCCAGAGGAAAATACTCTTACCCATAGCGTTTACGTTGGGTAATAGTGTTAACGATCTGAAAATTTCAACTAAATCTTACTGTAACAATACTGAATAGAAGTTACAATAACTCAACTTTCCTTACCTTCCAAGTTGTAAGTATACTTGAAACGTTATTGTTCTTTTATTCTTTAAGCAATTGATGATACATGATGTTCATTTACGATGATTACTGTCTACCACACCTGCATCGTCGGAACCCACGGTACACATTCAGTATATATATAAAACAGGATGCCACACCTGTAATGTTTCACTGGCACATAATTGTACCAACATAATTATTCCCATGCAATACCAGTTAACTTCCGATGAAAACGGATGTTAATTTTTTTATTATTTAACCAAAGGATATTTTAGACGCGAAGAGCACTCGGAGTGCAAAACTTAATTTTAGTGGTATGTCTGATATAGTCACTCTCGTGATACCTCTTCGTGATGAACTTCGAAAACTAAAAAGATGAATGGAAAAAAAATGCAAGCCATTTCGTTTTTCTTTAGAAAATGAACCACCTGACCAGATTTTATACTGTTAAAAATACTGTTACCTATGTAACAATACAAATTTTTTAGTCACGTGGTACATTTGCATTGATAGCGAGAATAACTCCCAGCGACCTATGGGAATTTAACATTACAAACAAGTAAGGGGGTAAAATATAAAATGACAAGTCAAATATTGATGCTAAAAGTATTTAATGTTTTTATCAGTTTTTTTATTATATAAGAAGTAGGCGTCTATCATTCATTGACTTATCTTTCCTTTCATCGTCTCTGACAAACATCACATTGAGCTGAAACGATTTCGATAAATACATGTAACATTCAATTGGCATTGATAGAACAAAATAATAATAATTTTTCCATATTATGTAGTGAACCTTTTTTTTCACATAAAAGTTTTATTTATTTTTTTCAGAATTAACCTTTCATTAAAACACAAGTAAAAAAAACCCCACTCACTTCCAGTATTTTCTGTTGTAAACCAATTCATGCCGTCTATTTCTCCAAATTTGACCCCAGTTTTAGCGAAGATATCTAAGGAAATGTCTGTCAATGGGACATTATTTCGACTAACATCTCCCACTAGATAAACGGCTGAAATATGTACACAACAAATGAAAATACTTCAACAGAAGTAATCAACTTCAAATATTTTTGTAAGAAAATTTAGATAATTTTTCACTAAACAATGTTAATTAAAACAGCATGACAAAGCTGCATTTTTCTCATCATTGAAATCATCAAATATCATCTTCAGAGGGAAAAACATCATACTTATTCGGGCGCCAGTCCGTGCACATTTATCGTGTTGTTGAAGGCTGTGTCTTGGGCATTGTAGTCTCAGAAGGTATTTAGTTGGACAAAAAGACCAGTAGTAGTTATTTACTTTATTCCCTGTAAAGTAATGGATAAAATACAGTGTTATACGAGCAGTTGCATCTCATTTAATATTATACGATTATTAACTAGCTATAGTGAGCCATTGGATATGATGTGATATTTACCAGTAAATGTCATATTGAGCGGGGCGAGAGCCATATTTAATGGATCAATTAAAAATCACACACAAAAAGTAAAAACATGTTATCAATAAACTTATTATTGCAGTGTAACTTTTATGGAATAATAGATTTTTGAATCGATTAAAATGCCATAAAGAACAAAATGCAACAATTTTAAAAAGTATGCCATAAAGAACAAAATGCAACAATGTTAAATAGTCAATGATGTATTGTCATTGAATAATGAGTCTGATTCCAGTTAAGATAAGAAAACTTTAGCTAGTGAATATGACACTACACCTAGTTAAAACTGCGCATGCCTAAATCATATTCACCCAGTGAATATGAATATGATTTACGCACGCGCAGTTAATTGTTTCTGTCGCGTCTGACCAATTTAATTTTGTAAATACGTACTTTTAATGTTTTAAATAATTTATAAGCAGCCGACTTAAATCTGTTAAGATTCATTTCAAACACTGCAATCCTATTGGACAAAAAATAATTTCAAACACTAACTAAAGATGAAAATGAATTAAGATAGTGGGTTCAAAACCTGTTGTAAACTGTAACATTTTTATTAAGTTTTGATTCTTTTTTTAAATATTACTAGTACTTACTGTCTGACAAAAAAAAAATGATTACCCATACGAACTTAAAGATACGGTTAAGATATTCATACATTTATTATAATGAAAAAAAATATAATAAGAAATGAAAAAAAAGATTGAAATTATTTTATATTCATCCTTCGATATCAATTTGCAAATATATTGACATACAACTTTTTCGCATGCGCCTTTTAAAATTGTTAACACGTCTAAACTGGGATAACACCACGAACAAACAGAATTTTCAATAATACAATTGAAGAAACTTTTAACAGAAATTGCCAAAAAATATTATAACATTATATAACAGATAAATTATAACTTACCATTCGATTCTAATGATGTAAATATAACTTTGTTTCCGTCAATCTCAGATGTTATTGGGAAGCTATATTCAAGGCAGGTTGTGCAGCTTGAGTCGCTGAAGAGCAATATTATCTATAGTTTATCGTGAAATACCGCCCAAAGCAAGCAAACAATCATTAGCTTAGACCTATGTCTAGAGTTGCAATATGAAAACAAACGTCTATGAGGAAGGATACGTTCAATATGCGCACCCCTATCAAAATACAGCGCCGTATATAAGGCCAACAAAAAGACAAAAACAAAAGCAAACAAACAAACAAAAAAAAAAAAAAAAAAAAAAAAAAAAACGAACAAAAAGACGATTATAAACAACTTAAGGAAACTGCAGTCAACATAATTTATGATGTTAATTTTCTTTGTAATAAAGTAAAACACAATAAACTGGGCCACCTCATTAAAGTTGTATTAATGTCACCTGGTCATAACAGGTCTTACAACAGAATTCAAGCATGGTATATGTACGATTGTTACATGTCATTTCCTATTGAACACTATCTGACATAGGATTTAACATTGAAGCTTCATTGACTTGACAACAAAATTGATTTAATTATGTCGAAATGCTTGCTTATTGTTTGATATAAGAATTATTTAACATGACGTTATAAGACAAAATATCAAATCTAGTTTCAACTTACAAGCCATGGCATACTTGCTGATAGGTGGAGTTATCGATCTTGTTGATCGTACAGTCATAATTTGTATTGACAGGAAACGGTGTCGGGTTAGGCAGCAAGACATAAGCTCCTTTTAAATTTGGCCCTGAAACCTAAAAGTGTTGTTAAATAAAAGTCGTTATATAGCTTGCTGACATTTGATTTTAATGCTGTGAAACAAGTCGTACTGCAATTACTATATTGGAATCATTTGACTGTTGATTAAGTAACAATCATAATGACAAAAGTCTAAAATGTCTACAGTATTGCAAACTTAGCTGATAGTTCATCGAGGACTGTTTTGACATTCAGCGAAATTATTAATTAGCCGATCAATTTCATTGGGTTTATGCGGAGAATTTATTCAATAAATTATTCAATTAATTTATTCAATAAATTAAAAAACATATTTTGGTTGTTTGAGGGCTGTTGCAGTTTTCATTCATCACATAGAACTATCAAGGTAAATCTACAACTTTAACATATCTTTTACTTTCTTTATAGTGCTTTCTGGGTAGGGGTTCCGCATTTATTCTCAAACTTCAATTAATACAAGATTGGTGCATGGTCATGAGGCTTCATAAACTATTTTATCAATGACGTTATGCCCAACAAACGAGGATATTTGCTGTACATTCTATTTTAAATATCTTCAATCTTTAAGATGGTACATATAACAGTCATAAAAATAACAACGAAAAATGAATGATATTAAATTAAATACAATAATAGGATAGTGTATTTAAAAAATGTTACTGATAACACATAGTAACCATATATTTTTATCACGCATGGAATATTGATATATATTTGATTAAAAGCTATAGCTGAGTAGTAACACGGGCATAGTAGACAACTTTGACCACTACACATTTGCTGCATTAAAATTGATTTAATTTTCCTAATATTTCCTGATTGATTCAGTAGGAGAAAGCTATGGAGAAAAATACAACAGTACTTACATAATAATCAAAGTCACCTTGACTAAATGTTTCGTCAAATGGAATTCTAACATCACTGAAACTCTGTGATTTTTCGCAGAGTTTAGCTTTCTCTCCTAAACCCGCACCAACACAGAAAATAAAAAAAACGACGACTTGTTGCCTCATGTTGAACATGTTATATCTTGTATTTACTTGGTGAACAAAATAAAGATATTATATACTGTTACGATCACATGATCTTATCGCTTACATAAAAAACAATCATTGGTTACCAGCTAGGCATGAATTAATTGGTTAGATATCCTACCAGACAGTGAAGTATACCGTCATTTTCCACTTTTAAATGTGTTGTTATTTATAAAGTATAATTCGTTTGATCAATGGATGTTAAAAAAGAACCTTGTTGCACTATTTTATTATCCCTTATGTACAGACTAAATCAAACCGAGTCTGCAATTTTCATGTAATTTTCTTGTAATAAATGCTTTCGAGGAATCTTTGTCCAGATTTTAGAATTCACAACAGCAGGTGTCAAGTGGTGTGTGGCAGGTGTAAAAGTTGTCCGGCACTTCACTTCAGTGTTGTTATATTTTCTGGTCCTTCGAGATAATTGATCCTTCCACTTTCAAGTGGCGCTCGCTATAAGAACCTACGAGATAAATGTAAAGTACTCCGTGGGAGAGCTCCGTGTGACAATGTGATTAAGTATTTGCACCCTTTTCAGATATGAAAAGTGTCACAGTGTTGCAGATTGCATCAATAGAACCCTAATATATCCGTTGCACATGAATTTGTGTCAAACAATTTCTAAAAAGGACAGTGTAATAAAAACTAACCTTGACGACTATAAAATGACAAAGAAAATCAACAAGGAAGAGCGGAGGAACATACAGGACACCAAATTGAACAGGGCAAACAGACAAAAAAAGGACGTGATTCTTCAAACAGGAAATCATAGAAACTCACAAGGTAATTATACCATGTGTAGAATTTCAACTTGGACACAGGGGTCTAGGACATTGTGTTTAAGTGTGTTCCATAGCCAGTAATCATTTATCGTGCGTTTATTTTTTTCTGGTGCAATAAACTTTTCCAAACTTCAAATTTAAGTGGCAAGTTAAGGGTTTCTGGCTTAAAAGTCGTATATATTATTTTACTCGTCTCGATGACTGCTTTTAAAGTAATCAGTGCTCGAACCGAAAGTAGTGTTTATAGGAATTCGTAGTCCAATTCTGCTTCCGAGATAGGAACCTGTAACCAAAAAAACGCTTTACATCTTGACCACTAACCCGTAAGCTGGATATTTCCTTCGCACCGTTATAATATTTTGTTAATAATAGATAATTTCATTTTTGATGAATTAATTATAAGGACTAGTGAATGAGTAACAGCAAGTGAAGATGAACTATAGTAGACATCAGATGACCATATATTCTTATAAACTTTTCAATGGTTAATTGGTTTTTACCAGAATTGAATATCATGTATGAATGTGCGGACGAAAGACATTGTTGATCGTGAACTTTGATAGGCATGCTAGAGATTAGAATATTAAATGATTTTTTTCACAGGAACTTGAAATTCTATCAATATTAACGATAATATCCCAAATAAACAGGTCTATAATATCCAAAATATACCCCCATATGGTATAAGTATATTTATACTATATAGGTTTTTTTTGGATATCATCATTAATATTGGTTATTTATTGGAATTTCAAGTTCATGTGGTATTTTCTTTGGAACACACAAAATAGTAGTCCAAATGACCAGAGTCTGTAAATTGTTTTATTGGGAGGTCAATCTACTATTTTAATGAATTACTTCAAAAACCTCGTCTGACCCATCAGTGTGTTTACTTTTCTACCAATAAAACTCATGACAACTCATGTTAAAATTGCAGACGAAAGTTTCTGTTGTAAAATTGTCACAATATTCTGCAAATCAACGTTCCACTCAAAAAACCATGCCTTCAAACAAAATATTGAACAGCAAAATTTCAAATCGTAAAAAAGGCCTATTTAAATTTTTTCAATAGATTTATAATTAAAGGTTTGAATATGTTTGCATTTCATTTGCTGCAAAATTCTCTAGTTCGTTATTTATTTGCATATCACTACACGAATGACCGTTTCTTTACACTAAAACTACTTCGTTAAATATATTTTCGAGCTTTCACAAATGTTAAGGGCATCATTCTATTTATAGGTTCAGCAAAAACATACATAATACCCCACTGTGTAATAAAAACGGGTAAATAAAAATCCCGAATAGCACGATTAATTGACGGATAAGATATTTTCATTTGACTATTTTTGCATTGCGAAATTCTCTAGTTCGCTATTCATTGATTTCATGTTTGATAATCAAATACTCTCATACCAATCGGAATGATCGGCTATTATGACCGACGAAAAGGCCCGAGAAGTTGCACTTGCCCTTTCACAAAATCTGATGTCATTCCATAAAGGGTGCCGCGCTTCGGCGCAGATGCCAATAATCAAGAGAAAGGAACACAATAAAAACAAAAATATCGCTGATTCATCTGGATTTTAAAAAATATTATAAGCTCCGACATGATACCTATACTTTTGTATGTTATAACGAGTTTCTATGTCAATGTTTAAATGCATTTATTTGAACCATTTCAGATGGTTCAGCTCTGTGTGTCGTTTAAAGTAGATAGAAAACGTTTTTTACATCCAAGAATAAATTACTAAATGTACCATCTACTGACATTGTCAATAATAACAGCAGCATTTGTAATGATTTAGCCAGTGGTTCTGTATTGCTGGTGTCTATTGGAAGCTGGGGGATGCGGTCATTGAATGCTTATCTTTTTATTGACTTTATGTTTTCATATTGTTTAATTTCCTTGATCTCTTCTACTGATAAAAAATGTTAATCTTATGGAAGATCTGAAAAGCATAATTTATTTTAGTAAGCTATTAATTAATGTTTCTTTTGTCTTGGGTTTATTAAAAGAATAGTGGCTATACTTACATATTTCCTAATCTAAAATAAGTGAAGACTGTAAAAAAGAGAAAAACAGAATCCCTACTGAAAGCCCAAAACGGCAAATTTTAAAATGTTGCATGCTCGGTTTGATTTAGCTGAAAAAAAGTCTATGTGATATCTTCCCTGAAGGTTGCTTTTTTCTTTATAGACCAGAATTTTAAAGAATTTGTCTAATCTTTGCCAAGGCGTATTAAACACAAAATTTAAATACTAAAAACCTTTAAAAAGCGATTTCTTAAGGATATTTTACAAGTTTCTAAAATCATAATTGGGCCAGACAGTTGAAAGAAAAAAAATAGAGTGAAGATAACATTTTGAAATGGATAAAACATTTTATGACGTTTACATTAGGTATAATCTAGCTGTAAATCATCATCAATTTATATTATTTTTCATTTTTTGTCTAAATGATTGATATGTATGCGATGATATCAGAAGTGTTCTATTTTTGCTCCTTAAGTGTCATTTAGACATTATGTGTACCTTGAACTTAACTGCTTTGTACCCATTAGTGACAATATGTTAAAACATAAAGGATGTCAGTGACGCAACACGATTTGTTATTTTATAACATTGGTTATCATTAAGATAACATAAAAAATAAATCAAAAGTTTTCTGTTTGCTGTTATTTCTAATATTTAGTAGTTTAGTCTTATCATTTTCGTTTGCGCATGAATTAGATCAAATATGTTTATAAGTTCTGTTAAACATTCATATCTTATTATCAACATTTTGAAATAAACATTTCATGATAACCGCCGTATGTATGCGCACATCTAAAAATATTTCTAAATTCAAATGTTAAGCGTTTTTATGCTAAAATGTTCGAGTCTGTTAAACCCTGTGCTAGAAAGCGTAAACGGTAGCTTGTACTTTTAAGTACCGTCCTTCAAACCGAGTCTGTAACATTTTTCATTTTAGCCTTTTGGGGCGTTCTTTAGGGCTTCTGTTTTTTCCATTTAGTAGGACCGCACGTAGCATTATTCCTTGTGTTGTAAAAGGAAACAAATGTGTGAATATATACATACTTATATATAAGTCAAAGTAAGGTTTTATTAAATTGAAATAATGTAATTGTGAAAACCATCATGAGCATGAATTCAGAAAATGCTTAAAGAACATGCAATCATTACAAGATTCCTGTAATTTGCACATAATTTGCACAGATACGCTATGACAATTTTTCTTCTTACAAAAAGCTGAAATCCTGCCATGTACGTAGAACATTGTCTGCATACAAACTCTTTATTTTCATTACTTTTAATGAAATGAGCTTGCAAAGATAGACTTAGATGTTAAATCTTATTATGGTTACAGTCTCTCTTATAATTATACGGCTGCAAAGCAGCCGTGTCAATTATGATTTTGAGTTAAACGCATGATTTACTAAGGGAAACACGATTAATTGTGAGTATTAAAAATAATTGCAAAGTAAATAAAAACATTCACATACACATGCTTAATTTTCTGTCCCCATTTTCTGTTTCTCAAGTTATTGCAAAACATTGGTTATGTACATTTCTGTCCATTTGACGAAACATTTGTTCTTATCTCCGTAAACAAATAAAAGGCTGCTCATCTAGTTGATTTCTATAATGAGGTAGCTTTTTGATACTTAATAATATTGAACTAGATTAAAACGCACATAAAATGATGATGCATTAAAACACGTTGTTTATCAATTTTAAGGGTAACTATTTTGCATTGGACAAAACTGCATCAGCGCAGGGACCGTATATGTTTATAGTATATACCATATCGGTGATATCAATTACTTTACGTATCTTTTCCCTCGCTATTACCCACACATACGTATTTTGAATTAATATTCGCCTAAAAAAGATACACAGCAAATATAGAAATAAAACTTCAAAACCACTGCGCGACATTACATAATTTCGCTATTTGCGAGAACGCTTCCCCTGCTAACGCTATTCTAACAAGAGGGCCATGATGGCCCTGAAGTCTCTCACCTGTATATAGGCCCCTGGAGCAGAGCCAGTTTAAACCCCAGGGCTTTTATTTGAACAAACTTGGTAGACAACCATTAAAAGATGTTTCATGCTAAACATCTAAGGTCTAGCTCATTGGGTTTTTCAAAAGAAGATTTTTAAAGTTTTTTCTTTAAACATATAGTTAAAAACAATGACACCCCTTGGACAGGGCCAGTTTTGACCCCAGGGCTTTTATTTGAACAATCTTTGTAGACACTTACTAGAAAATGTTTCATGCTTAATATCTAAACTCTAGCTATTCGGGTTTTTTCAAAGAAGATTTTTAAGTCTTTGGTATACACATATAAAGAAAATCAATGTCCCCCAGAACGGGGCCAATTTTGACCCCAGGGCTTTTATTTGAACACACTTTGTAATCACTCACTAGAAGATGCTTAATATCTAAACTCTAGCTATTTGAGTTTTTTCAAAGAAGATTTTTTAAGTTTTTGCTATACACATAATTATAAAGAAAATAAATAACCTCCGGGGTGGGGCCAATTTTGACCCCAGGCTTTTATTTGAACAAACTTTGTAGACACTCACAAGAAGATGTTTCATGCTTAGTATCTAATCTCTAGCTATTTGTTTTTTTTTTCAAAGAAGATTTTTTAAGTTTTTGCTATATACACAAAAAGGAAAATCAATGATCCGCGGGGCGGGGCCAATTTTGACCCAAGGGCTTTTATTTGAACAAACTTGGTAGACATCCATTAGAACATGTTTCATGCTAAATATCTTAGCTCTAGCTCTTTGGGTTCTTTAAAAGAAGATTTTTAAGTTTTTACTATATGCATATAGGGAAAATCAATGACCCCCTGGGGCGGGGCCAATTTTGACCCCAGGGCTTTTATTTGAACAAACTTGATAGATATCCATTAGAACATGTTTCATGCTAAATATCTTAGCTCTAGCTCTTTGGGTTTTTTAAAAGAAGATTTTTAAGTTTTTACTTTATGTATATAGGGAAAATCAATGACCCCTGGGGCGGGGCCAATTTTGACCCCAGGGCTTTTATTTGAACAAACTTGGTAGACATCCATTAGAAGATGTTTCATGCTAAATATCTTAGCTCTAGCTCTTTGGGTTATTTAAAAGAAGATTTTTAAGTTTTTACTATATGCATATAGGGAAAATCTAGGACCCCTGGGGCGGGGCCAATTTTGACCCCAGGGCTTTTATTTGAACAAACTTGGTAGACACTCACAAGAAGATGTTTCATGCCAAATATCTAAGCTCTAGCTCTTTTGGATTTTTAGAAGAAGATATTTAAAGTTTTTTCTTTTGGTTGCCATGGCATGGAATGGAATTCTTTGAACAACTTTGTTAAGGCTTCACACAAGGAACATCCCTGTGAAGTTTCATTATGATCTTATGGTTTCAGAGGACATGTCGTTTTAAAAGTGTGAACGGACAACGGACGACGTACGACAGACGACGGACGAAGAGTGATCCTAATAGCTCACCCTGAGCATATGCTCAGGTGAGCTAAAAATATCGTTTACCCAATAACCACATTGATGCATGTAGAAACAATCGTTGTTGTGTGATCTAAGCGTTTACTTGGATGTCTGGTCTATGAGCAAAACACTTAGCTTTGTTACAAGAACACGAATTATTAACGTATGTTTGGATTATTATTAAATATCCTATATGCATGAAGAAGATATGTGGTGCAACAAATAACTGGGGTAACAGTTTAATATGTATGAAGTGAAATTAAATTCAAAGCTATGTATATGTTTATTATGTGGTAGTTCTGTTTTGTTGCTTCTTTTCGTTGAACATAAATTTGATGTAAATAAGTAAAAAAGCAAACTAAAAGTGTTGTAGTTTTCGCAATGCACCTGGGTAAGGTTTGATTTAATGATTGAGTTTGTATGAGAATTAAGACCTCATTTGTTGTCATTATTTATTACTATTACTATGAATCTGTTTAGGCTAGATTATGGTAACCCTGTCAACGGTTACTTTCATAAATTCTGGACAAGAGGCCTGCAATTGTTGTGTTTAGGAAACACAACCATCGGTAAACATCATAAATAGTCCAGGTCTCAGTCAGTTTGTTTCTGGTACAGTAACTTGGGCTGGGCAACACTTGCAATCATATATGTAGAGGGATTAAATTTGTCAATTAACACTAGGGTAACCTCAAAATATAGAGAGATAACGTATTTCATATAAATTCTAGATTTTCTAGTGCAATTCAAGAGTGAGGATTCAAGAGTGAGAGTCAAGATAATAAAGTCAGTAAAGAAATTTTAAGTTTTTCTCAGTGACTAGCCAACCATGTGTGAGGAAGAAAAACACTGTAAATTTAAGTATTAATTTTAGATTAGAAATTTAAAAAATAAATGATGAAAGGAAATTAAGAACAGTTATTTGAGTGTTTTATTACAATTATGTGGAATCAACGCAGTTAGAAATTTTAACAAAGCAAAGATGTGGGTTACATATGTTAACATGTTTTGTGAAATATTGAAATAACAGCATTATCATTTTTATATACAATACGGATACATCATGTATTAAGTTTGTATAAAACGATATTACCATTGTTACCAAATGACTTTTGTTTAAGATTTAGCCATATTATGGGAAAAAGTATTAGTAGGAAAGCATACAGGATTACTAAAAGTGCTTTAGCATGATTCAAAATCTTAATGCCTATATATATGTAGCTAAGAGTTGATTGCATTGAAGAAAACGTACATAAGTACATATGTATAAACAATTCTGAGCCTGTGTTTAGACTATGTCTGATGTACATATAATCATACAAGATCATAAATGTGACATACTATATGCACTGATATGCTTTGACAGTTTTTCATCTTACATGAAAGGGGTTCTCAGGCAAATTAATAACAAAAATAGCAAAATTCTCATATGCACTCAAACCACGTTAAAATGACATTTGTTAAAGTCCCACCATGAATTTCTGTATAAATTCTATGTATTTTGGGTTTGAAGCGAAAATATATCTATATAATGTTGAACGAAATTTAGACGCCGACAGAGTCACGGAGTATTTACTACACTAGTCATGTGACTTGAACAAACCCTTAAAGTTAAATAAACAGATATTGTGGATATTTGTACGATTGAAACACACCTAAATTATTCATTAGACATGCTCTTAAACGTTTCCAGAGTTCACTTTGACAACTATTGTGAAATCAAAAGGCTCTAACCTGACCCAAGTGGGTCAAGTTAGGAAACCACCATTTTATTCTTTATAAGGAAAAAAATGTGTTCCTGTTACTGTCTAGTGTATTCATTATCAGGACATTTACAGAATAATGGATGAAAAAATCAAAACGAAGAAATGAAAATATTGCCTGTGTCTCCCTGGCTATGATCTATTTAAGCGCTTGACAATACATTGTATGTCAATCGATAGAGAATATTAATGTTGTATCACTAACAGATGAGATCCCTCCATGCATTTAATTTATATGCTCTTAAAGCAGCATGCTTATTGTCATGAAAATGTTTAAAATGTATTAAAAAGAAGTGTAAGTTGTGAAGAAAAGTAACGAAGACAATGCAAACGACAACTAACAATCCACGTAAATTACCAGAATTTAGTAAAAAATATGCAAAATATTCCTTACTGGGTGTAAGTCACGCAGTAGAAAAATGGCATTAAATAGTGTAAAATCAGTCAATAATAGCACACAACAAGTACATAATTATTGAATTCTTGAATCATTTTACTTTAAAATTTCTTAATACTCTTTTCTCAAGTTTGATTTTCTTGAAACGTTTTGGTTAATCTGGAGGCATGAACTATTTCTGATAACCATGACCTATCGTTTGTGGACCTTGTTGATGATAAATTCAAAACCTTTCAATGTTATAATTTTAAAATGATAATACTAAAATGATCAGTACACAGATGTGTCGTACTCTTATCTGATCAATGACCTCTTCATGTGACATTGATTTTGGCATACCTGTACTTTGAGTGCGATACTCTATCTTTCTGTGTATATCATTGTAATAAATGGCTTTGATGTTTGTATTGGATTTGATCCTGATAAGGTTTTCCTGGCGATCTGATGCATGTACGCGAAACTTAGTTTTGCAACCCGATATAGTGTGCAAAATGGCATCAAAAAAGAACACAAATCAAATAATGATGCTAAATACATTTATAATTATATCAAGTAATCACTTTCGTATTTTATATATTGGGGTTTAAGCGTCTATCTTCATTCATTTATCTTTGCTTTCCTCATCTTCTACAAACGTCACATTGAGCTGAAATAATAAGAATAATAACAATTAATATAACATCGATATTAGCTTTGATTGAAACAAAAAACAGTTTTAACTGTTCTTCATATAGCGTGTTCATCTTTTCGAATATATATTATTAAACTTGTAATGGTGGTACCTTAAGAAAAAGTAAGATAGAAAAAAAACAGAATTCCCAAAGAACGGCCAACACAGCAAAATTGAAAATGTTGCAGGCTCGGTTTTATTGATCTTGTTCATGGACGGTACTTAAGTGTGCAAATTACCAACCACACCCCCAACAACACTCACTTCCTGTATCTTTTACGTTAAACCAATTCATGCCATCAATCTCTCCAAACTTGACCCCAGTTTTAGCGAAGATGTCTAATGAGATATCAGTCCATGGTGCACTACTTTTGTTCATCTCACCCACTAGAAAAACGCCTGAAATATATACAAAGTTAAAACATTAAAACATGAGTGATGGGTTCTAAATACAAACATAGTTTAAATACAAACATTGTTTTAGCACAATTGTTATAAACTTTCTTACGTTGTGGCTGAAATATAAATCAGTATTATTGATATGCATAATTTTGACTTATCTCCACTATCTTAAGTATTATCTTAAGAAGGAAAAATATCATACTCATCCGAGCGCCAGACCGTGCACATTTATTGCGTTCTTGAATGCTGTGTCTTGGACATTGTAGTCTCAGAATGTATTTAGTTGGACAAGGGGACCAGTAGTACTCATTTACCGGTTTTCCTGTAATGTAATGACTAAATTAACATAAAAGTACGAAAATATTTCTAATTTACGAGCAAAAACTTATTATCTAACAGGCATAAGAACAGTTGCATTGTCATGATGATAAAGTGTACCAGGAACTGGAATCAAGAAGTTATAAACTGAACACATACTTTAACCATTCTTGTTACTTTAAGGAGTAAAAAAATGTTTTTTTTATTTTTTTTTTTTTTTTTTTTATTGATCAAATAAATTTATAAACATTGTATTTACAGCATGGGTATATAAACATATAACTATAAATGAATTCAAAGTAAAAAACAGAACATATCATAAAAGAAAAATAATTCATTTTACATACTACACTCATTCATCTGCACTCTCTCACTGCAGTCTGCGCTTTTGATATTGTTATTGATCTTTTCAGTCATTTACTTATCTCTAAAGCCATTTTAAGCGGGGTAAAAATATAATAGTTTGATGTGTAGTTTTTGTATTGGTCAATACAGCCTAAAAGTTTAAGTCTGCATATATGTAGAGAATAATAATAATAATAGTAATAATAATTATAATAAAAGTAATAATAATTATAAGAAGAAGAAAACAAAAATATTGTGTTAATCTGCATAAAGGAAAATAAGATAAGAATTCCACGCGGAATTAAAGGTTTCAACATTGTTATTTATCATTGCAGTCTCTTTTTCAATGTTGTAACAATATGTTATATATTTTTTAGCTCCAAAAATACTCTTTTGCATTCTACATTGATAAATATACATCTTAAAGTAAATTAAAATTAGATTTTTAGTTTTTGATAAAGGACTTTTATCTATTAAGCCAAAAATCATTTCGTCTGCAGTTAATGACGGAAAAATATTCTATTTTGTTTTGAAATAGATATCAATGATGTCCTTTACAAAACTACATTGCCAAAACAAATGTTCGATAGTTTCGTTTTCATTTTTACAAAAGGTACAAAGAGGATTATCATTATATTTAATTTTATGTAAATAATAGTTAGTGCCAATTATTCTATGAATAATCCTAATTTGAAACCACTGTATCCTAGAATCTTTTGTTATTTTAAATGGCATTTCGTAAATTTCTTTCCATTTACTTTCCTCAAAATGAAGATCAAGCTTTTTCATCCAGGTTGCTTTACTTGTTGGTTGTGTGTTATTAGTATTCAATAAATTGTAAGTCTGTTTTGATCCTTTATTGTTAATAATTATGTTTTTTAGATAAGGAGGCAATTTTGGTCCACAAGTTTTTTTTACGTCATTCATACTAAAATTAAATTTGTCATCATTTCATTTATCATTTTTTTAATTCCATGAAAGATTAAAAAGTTTGCATTAAGCCTGAATATATTATTAAAATCTTCTAATGAGAGAAAAGCACCGTAAGAATCAAACATATCTCCGATATAATATACACCGGCTTTAAACCATGAATTAAGAAATATACTTTTATTGCCAATTAGTAATTTATCGTTATAAAACAATGGTAGTTCTGCGAAAGATTCGTTATTTATAGGATACTTATCTATATATGTAGAAAAAGCATTAAAAGTGTCCTTCCAAAAACGTTTGAAATGCTTTTTGCAATTTTATCTATGTAATGTTTTCCAAAAAAAATGTTGATGTGACCTTTATGTGTACGCACGGCAGATTGACTATTTATGGTAGTTATGTTTACTTATGTATTTTGAATGTTCGGACATGAAATAAACACACACGCACACACACGCCACGCACGCATACACGCACAACTGAATTTTAACTCTTACCCCTCACCCTTACCCTTTATTTACCCTTATGTATTCCTAACACTTAACTAAACCTTATGTCTATACAATGTTAGGCTCCAAAACCAAAAATGACTCACGGAATGAAGGTTACAGTTCCGAGGTTTACCTCACAATGTAGGTATAACCTCACTTTGTATTGGCTAAAACAATACATTCCTCTCGCCATGTAAGGTATATCAGCCCATACAACAAGCACACAATAATAAAACTAACCCTCACCCCCGAAATGGGAGGACATAACAAGAAAATGAAATGTTCTCGTATTTGTAGTTAATTTATTTCAAACAAGATACGCATGAAGTACTTGGACTGAAAAAATCTTTGTTTTGTTAAACTGTCGCAACTATTATGCCTCCTTCGATATTAGTTTTGTAAATGTATTTGGTATAACTTGATACATGTGTTTCATTCAAAAGCTGATGTGTTAAAATGCTTACATGTCCAAAACTTGTGGAAAAAATCAAAGAAACCGTTGTCAGAAATTTCTTTAACTTAAAAAAAAACGTACCGTTCGGATCTATTATTGTAACTGAGATCTTGTCTCCGTCAGACTCGGACGTCATTGGGAAGCTGTATTCTATGCATGAATTGCAGTTTGGATCGCTGAAGAACAATTCTTTCTTTATAGTATTGTGATATGCCGTCTAAACTAAACAATGATTATGCATCAACATATTTCTAGAGAACAAAAAACAATAATGATCTGCTACGTTCAATGAACACTGCCCCTGGCAACACCCAGCAAATATGGACCATAGGCAAGGCAACGACAAAGAGGACAGGGCACAAAGGTGAAGCAAGGACTGGAAATAATTACAAGTGCAGATATCTGTAAATTTGTTATACTTCATCATCTATTGAATACCGTCTATCATTAAATAAAACGAGAATGCCTTATAAACTTGTGCAATGTGAATTAATTAGAAATTCTTTTCTTTTTCAACTCACTTTGATTTTATTATTTAGAAATGTTATATAGAAAGTAATGTAGTCATTTTAAATGTTATATAGAAAGTAATGCAGTCAATTTACAAAATGTTATACAGGCATTATATGAAAATTGAATTTAAACTTACAATCCATTGCATACTTGCTGGTAGGCAAAGTCACCGGTCTTGGTTATCCTACATTTGTAATCTGCGATAATGGTAAACGGTGAAGGGTTAGGCACCAAGAAAAACGCTTCTTTCAAAATTGGACCTGCAACCTTAATAACAGTGTGCTGTATAAATAAAGTAGTAATATAACATCCTGATATTGTGAATATGTTACTCTGTAAGTATTATATTGGAATAATTTGACATTTATTACATCACAGTAGTACAACAAACACAAGGACAACCGTCTGCAAAGTTAATAATTCAACAAAGTTGGTTAGTCACATGCGATCTGTCAAAACACTGTCCACAAAATAGAGAAAAGCAGACTCCCTAAAGAAAGCCCAACACGGCAAAAATGAAAATGTTGCAGGCTCGGTGTGATTGAGCCTAATCATGGACGGTACTGGAAAGTGCAAGTTACCGTCCACGCCCCCTAGTACCGGCTTAAGCAGAATTCAACATTTGACACGAACTGGTACAATTTGAAATTTTTTAACATCCGCAGATGTGTTCATATGACGGTTATCATGGAACCTTCAATGAGACACGTAAGTGCCATTCCATGAAAAGCGGCATATGGTCCCCAAGTAAAAAAGTGCGTGTGCTCTAAACGAGAAAACAATGGGCGGAACTAAATAAAATGGAATTTTGAAAGGGGATCTGAGGTTATGAAGCCTGCATATCACAGATAAGACGTCAAAAGACAATTTAAAAAGCAGGCAACATATCCTAAGGGTGATTATACAGTATTCAAGTAGGAATAGTGGAACCACCCAAGTTGAAAAAGGCCAAAATAGAAGAAATTTAAAATACCACATAACATGTATACACAACAATTATGTCGTGCTGAACGATCTTCAAGGATCGAAAATATAACATCTTTGATTAAATGTACGGGAAGACTTTCTAAGGCACAAATAAATCTATTGCAAGTTTGTCACATGTTCATCAATGCGACTTGGTAAGATGAATAAATAGGTTATAGTTTTTTCTAAACAGTATTAAAATTGTACATGTAATTACTTAATTAACAACAACAAAAATATATTGAATCCAAAATGCAGTTCTTAAAAAAAATTCAATGCAGTTCTAAAAAAATAACATTTTTAATGATATAATTTTTTACGGCACATACTATTGTAATATATATATATATAATATTTATATTTGATAAAGAGCTAAAGGTGTGTTCTATGTTTATATTTGTAAAACATTAACTAGTCAATCTTGCTATTATAGCTGTTTTTATATTAAGTGCAGTAGGAAAAAGATATGGAAACAATGCAACAATGTACTTACATAATAATCAAAGTCACCTTGACTAAATGTTTCTTCAACTGGAATTCTAATTTCACTGATACTTTGTGACTTATCGCAGAATTTAGCTTTTTCTCCTAAACCCGCACCGACACAGAAAATCACAAAAACGAAGACTTGTAAATTCATTTTGAACATATTATATCTTGTCTGTACTTTCTAGAGGATACTTGGGTAAATCAAATTTCTATTTATTTATATATCGTTTGCTCTGACGATTACATGATAACGATAAAATATAACAAATAATTAGTGGGACAGCTACACAGAATGTCGCTGGTTGTATATCCTATCAGATAGTATAATACACTGTGGTTTTTGCAGTTTTTGTAATTTGTTGTAATGTATAAAAACAGTTTTTTCCTTTCATTAGAAAGAATTTATTGTAGGCTTAAGAGTTAATGTTGAGTGTTGAGAATGGTGTACCTCTCAAGCCGGTGCTAGGGGGCGTGAGAGATGTTGCGCTTATTCATTATCCCTCATGTACAGACTTTATCAAATAGAATAGAGAAAAAAGAATCCCTAAAGAAAGTCCAACACAACAAAATTGAAAATGTTGCAGGCTCGGTTTGATTGAGTCTGTTCATGGACCTGTCGAGTGCAAACTACCGTCCACGACCCTAGCACCGGCTTAAGCAGAATTCAACATTTAAACATGAAATGAACCCGCAGATGTGTAAGACAGTGATCGTCAGTTTAAGACTATATTTCCATGTATTTCCATTCCATGCATACCCTACTTGATTTTTTTCACAGACAGTAAGTTTGAATGTTAATAAAAATCCTTTTCACCGCGTAACTGGAAATGGTTTATTTGAAACTATCGAATGAATTGAATGCTCGTCTTTTACGACTTTGAGGAATTTTAGTTTTGGTAAAATTATGTCGACAACACATTTTGCTGTTCTAAAGGACGTACCGTCCGGACCAAAAATACATGTACTCTTTTGGCGATTTTTGGACCCGTAAACTAGTCCTCCTGGGCTCTGTGCCGCTGGCGCTTGTTGCTGGGTCGGGTGGGGGCTGCGTTCATTGAATGCAGCCTTTCCTTGTCGATCTTGTTTATCATATTTTAGTTTTGCCTAGGCTTTTAAGAAGGCACTTTGTGCTGTTATTGTATTGTTCACGATGATTGCCTTTGAAGTTCATCAATGGTCGAACCCAACAAGAGAGTCTTGAGTAAATCGTATGCAAATTATATTTCCGAGATACGAACCCGTGGCCAAAAGCTTAAGGGTACCAAGTTCTTTCCCCTTCACCACTGTTAGTGTTACTATTACTGTTACAACTCGAGATGTGAATATGTTAAAGGAAAAACATTTAAACACGATGCTATCTGTTTTGTACAAGGGGACGTAGCCACAAGTATAAATCAGATTGCCGAGTGTAATCATCTCATTTGTATGTTAGGCAAAAATAAAAACACGTATCCTGTTGTCAGAAAATGAATACCCAGAAAAAAATAACCATGAACGAGCAACTGATAATTATGTCATTTCTGTCGGTATGGCAATTTACAAACTATGATACGAACAGCTGTTTGTTCATTTGTAGATAAATGATTGCAAATGCAAATATGTACGTAGATCATACATTGCGTACCAGGATCTTTGAATATATATCGAGACTTAATCACGCAAACGTACGTTGTTTTATGTACAAATTTAAATAAACCCTTTATTTTTTAGCAGTTACCTTTCAAGTTGAAATTTTTACACAGGGACATAAATTTGTTAAAATTTTAAAATGTTACAAGGGAAGGCGTTTTATTTTAATGTGACTGTTTTTTAAACAATCGTTAAGTTGTTATGTTGGTGATGAAATATTTTACATGGAGGTTTGTTCATAGCGCCTTTAATTATATGAAATAAATTTATTATTTGTTTGTTTATTCTTTTTTTTTCGCCAATTTTTACATAATTTGGTTCATATTTCGGTAGTTGATCCATCTATCTTTCCTACAAATCTAACAAGCAGTTAGGACTTATCCGCATATGACCGACTCCTAATTCCACAATATAATTAATGTTCAACATCAGTTGTCACGGAAAAATCTTCTTTACCTGAGATTCGAACAAGACACCGCTGGACTACTTATTCGAGGTTACTAGACATTTCTTTCCGTTTTGTGCTAAAAAGGCGTTTTTCTATTTTTTATTTAACATACATGTATTGCATAATCAATTGCTCCAAAATTCCATATGTTAACGCTTAATAAGTTATTTCAAATTTTGTTCTATTTTGTTTTGAAGCACACACTTTATCGTTTTGTTTATTTTTCATTTGCATCTTCTCTTTACCGTATTTTGTTTAAAACTTGGACAAAGTACTGTATACCATAATGATAAATGCCAATGTGGTAATTTCAACGAATGCATATTATTTACAACTGGCAACTATCAATGAATATCATGCTTATTGGTCGATTGACAGCAAAAACAACATGTGTTTATACTGATGTAAAGAGATATCTTGATATTCAAAGCAAAATGTTCAGGCCATTACATGAGTTGCAAAACATTTAAATTCAGCTACTGTATGATATCGGATGTATAAAATACTCGTATCGTACAGCTGTTTCTAACCTTATCTGTCGTTATCATTTATTGGCACGCAATATCCTTACTGAGTTGGTCTAATATAGATAAATACAGAATCCCTAAAGAAAACCCAACACGGCAAAATTGAAAATGTTGCAGGCTCGGTTTGATTGAGCCTGTTCATGGACGGTACTGGAAAGTGCAAGTTACCGTCCACGCCCCCTAGCACCGGCTTAAGCAGAATTCAACATTTAAACGTGAAATAGTAAAATTTTGAATTTAGAAACATCCGCAGATGTGTTCATAAGCCCAATCTCTCTCGCGTTATCAAACAGACATCCAAGTTTTTTATATAGAATTTCTGATTGATTGACATCAAATTCAAACGGGGGCGTCTACTGGTCATATCTAACGTTTCTCTTTAGTTTTAGAAACCTTAACTTATCCTGACAGGAAATTTGGATTCTCTCAAGTGAGGAAGCTATCCAGCAAGCTTAGGGAACGTCGGTGATTCTACTCAGGTGCTTGTTCGTGCCTGAAATAATATACGAAAGGGCACCTGAGGTCTTCCTCCACCTGTAAAGCTGGAACGTCGCGATTTGACCTATACTGTGTCGATGTGACGTAAAACCTAATAAAAAAATTCCTTCTGCAAGTTTTTGATCGGATAACGGTTTACCGAAGAGTATCATTGTGGTCTTAACATTTACGTAAATGACCTCGGAATCAACAAATGTCATCTCCTCTCCATATCAAATACCATAACTTACATTTCCGTTTTTCTCAAGTTATTTGTAGAAATATAAACGGATGACCAGCCGAAGTTTTCTTATGTTAAGTAGCCAGGTAAAATTTGTTATTACAATCCCTTTCATAACATGTATATGCATTTCGTATCAGGAATTTATTTTCGAACTTATTCTTAAATGTATGCGCAAGAACAAAATGATTATTTTTTACCCTTACTACGCTCAATACTTTAACCGTTCTTCTCTATCCTTGAATCTTGACAAACCATTCCATTTTATAGGAAAGATTTAAAATAGCGAACAGTGCAAACAATGATCCGCCTGCCGGACGTATTGACCGAGTTTTGTTTTCACTAAACGCATGGTTAGAAGCTATAATTGTCACTAGCAGACTATGGATTAAGAATTGACATTTAATATTAAATGTTTGTACATTATGCTAATGGCAACATAATATGAAGTAAATACTTTGAATAATAAAGAACATTAATGCTATGAATAAAAAATAAAGAAACGGTACTATTATTTGATGTGAGTCAAGACAAGTCTTTTTTTACCCATTGTAAAGGCCCAGTCACACCGCAGGAACTTTGCTGGAGCGTTCCTGGAGCGGTAAATAGAATTTATCACCGCTCGTTACCGTTCACCAGAAGTTTGTCACCGTTAAAGCAACGCCGTATACGCTCGGTCACCGCTTAAGGTCCCTCCTACTGCTCCGAAAGTTTTGAGCTGCACAAAATATTGCGAGCGGTGATAGCTGGCAAAGTTCACCACTGCTCCAACAACGCCAAGTCAAAGTTTGGTACCGTTAGACGCAAGTTCGTGGACGTTTGGGTCAGCTAGGCTAACGCAGAAATCTGGTGAACGCTGTACCACCACTGCTTCGCCAGCTTAAACGTTGCACAAACTATGGTGGAGTGATTGTAAGCGTTTTGCGAGCGGACACTGAGGTTAGCTAAAATTACGGGGAGAAATGGCCTAAGAGCCCATTTGCAATCGAGCTGCCGTTGATTGCAGACCTCATTAACATCGCATTTGCTCAAAATTACAGTAAAACTGTACTATCACGGGTGCTAGTCTAGCAGCAGAATCAGAACCTTCTCAGATTGCAACAAGCTGTTGAGGGAGAAGGAGGGACAGAGTTGTGTGGGTCAGACAGTAGATACTGAGAAGGCCTAAACATGGACTGTATGACAAGCTGATAATGGAGCTGAGGAATGATCAAAGCGACCCACCCGTGCAGCTCTCATCAGGGTTTACGTTTAGCTTTAGGTGCTTTTCGCACCTCACCTGTAGAAAGTCTATATGCGGAAGCTGGGGAACCATCGCTTTATCTTCGTCGTAAAAAGCTATCACTTCAATATGCAACTAGAATTTCATTTAATAGGAAAAATCCAGCTAAAAATATTATTTTCAAACCATGTTATACTGAAAAATTTGTTAACAAACCAAAGGAAATTAAACCATTAGGCCTTCGTTTAAAAGATGATTTAGATAAACTTAAAATTAATCCAGACAGTATCCTTCAAAATGACGATGAGGATGTTCCACCTTGGACTTATAATTCCCCTGAAATAAATATTAACCTTTCAAATATAAAAAAGGCATCAAATTCACCTGAATATTTCAAAGAGAAGTTTCTAACAATTAAGGAAGAACATGAAGATTTTATACATATTTATACGGACGGTTCAAAAGAAGGTTGCAAAGTAGGTGCGGCTGTGTTTGAAAATAATTTTACATCTAGTATGAGGTTACCAGATAATGCATCAATTTTTACTGCTGAAGCAAAAGCTATCGATTTAGCATTGTCATACATAGCACAGCATACCCACGATAAATTTGTGATATTTTCTGACTCGCTTTCTGTTTTAATATCCATTAAAAATAAAAAATCTGACAATATCATGGTAAAGAAACTTCTTTTACGATTTCATGATATACTAAAAACAAAATATGTTAAATTATATTGGA